CTATAGTGGCGGTACGATTGCGATCTTCAAAATCTTCAATTTGCTGCGTGTATCGAGGTGCCGGTTTGCGAGTATTGGGTGCAGCTTCCCTGCTCGTGCTTTGCCCTTTTCCGCTACCTTGGACATGTGTGCATTCCACGAGCAGTCTTTTGCGATCTCTACTCCGAGGTATGTGTACTGGTCCACTACTGCAATCTCCTCGATCCCCCACTTCCATCTATGTTCTACTGGTTCCTCCTTGTTCTCGTTGCATAACATGACGGCACTCTTCTGAACGTTGGCAGATAATCTCCACGTATCAGTAACCTTCTCCGCCGCGTCAATATGCAGTTGCAGTCCCTCAGCGGTGTCCGACATCATCCGCAAACAGCATTCCCGACACCGAAGTTTCAGTGTCCCTTACTTTTACTCCCCCCGGTGGTCTAGTGGTATCCTCGCAATCCTCTAGTCGCAGAGGTCATGAGTTCGAATCCCCATGGGGTGAAAAGTTTACGAAATTTGCGGGTGAAAGCGAAATATAGCTTAAAAGCTCTCGTGAGTACCAAACTTCGATGTTTGCACCCGACGAGGGAAAGGGACGACTGGACCCTTCTCGCGATAGAAATAAAATTCAGCCCGCACCGCAGGAGGAAGGTGGGGCATGAAAATTAATAAGAAGAAAAAGCCCTGGTGTTTACCCCCCCCCGTGTGATCCTGGATGGTTGTAGTTGTACGAAAAAATACTTTAAAGTGTATTACTCTCCATACGCTGAAAAGTGTAGTACACGTCTCACCACGAAAAATGAGGGGACTTTCGCCATAATAAATAGGACGAAAACACACATAACACACACACTCCCTTCCGGACTGCCTCTACGACTTTCAACAGATCGTTGATGAACACCTGGAACAATGTTGGGGACAGCGTGCAACCTTTTGGGGCCCCCTGGTCAATGTAGAAGAATTTTTCTGTCTAACATGACCGCGCTTTCCGTACACTCTGTCATCTTCTTCAGCACTCTCCACATTTTCCCCTTGATCCCGTACTTGGAAAGTTGTTTCCACAGCCCACCTCTCCATACGGTATGGTATGCCTTTTTCACGTCCAGGAAGAAGCAGTACGTCGGCTTTCCCGCCGTCCTTCTACCTTGGATGATTCTTCCTACCCTGAATGCGTGGTCTTCGCACCCCCTCTTCTTGCGGAAACCTGCCTGGCCCTCACTTATGCTTTGTTCGTTATCCGATACTCCCACTATCCTATCGTTCAGCAGCTTACAGAACACTTTTCCTCCTGTGTTAAACGGTGTGATCCTCCTGTAGTTTCCTGGGTCAGTCTTGCCTCCTTTTCTTAAACAAGTTCACAACCACTCCTTCCCTGCATCTACTTGGCGCATTCTCGTTTTTCCACACCCAATTGTATAGCAGTACCATCAGCTGGATCATCCCCTTTCCCCCAAACTTCATGAGCTCGTTGACTATCCCATTGGCCCCTGCTGCTTTGTGGCACTGCAGCTTGTTCACACACGCCTCGGCGTCGTCCTCAGTGAACTCTTTCTCTAGCTCTACGTTCCCAACGTCTGCCTTCGATGTCTCTTCTTCTTCCTGGGCCCATGCGTCCACCTCCTTCTTAAACACTTGGTCAAAAGCTTCATTCTCCGGAGGTCGGGGGGGGGAGGGGCACTCATGGCCGAGCATGCGGTAGTCCATCGACCTCGCATCCCTACAAGCAGGGACGGAGCAAGCCGGGTTTTCACGGCAACATGCTGCTTAGCACATCACCAAGCGCGAAGCACCGTGAGGTATTCGGCGAGTCGCATGAAGGGTGCGCTGCATCCTGCTAAGGGTGTTGGGCATCTTGTGCTTACTTCCTTGCGTACGGATGACCCCCGCAACCCTCTGACCTGCCTGTGTGACGCCTTTCTAGTGTCTCTCTCCCCCCACAATGTATTTCCCACGTGACACCCCTATCCCACACGCTCGTGGTACTTCCGTAGCACCACTGCCGTTATTTCTTGCCGCAGTACTCATTACCGCCATGTGTTGAATGCATTGCTAGGCGTGTATCGACGAGTTGGATGCGAGGACGCCTCCTCTGAAGACCTTTATCGTCCCCGGGGGGGGTCTGGCAGCTTCGCACTTGCACCTGGCGCGGTGCGTGTGCCGGCGAGCCGAGCGGAGCCTTCAGCCCCTGCTGGGAACGGGCCAGGGTGTTGAAGAAGTAGCCAGGTGGGTTCTGTTTCTTCTGTATGTTGGTGCATTTGTATCTTGTTTGTGTAAATTGAGAGAATCAATCGTCTTCAGCAGATTGTTGGGAGAGAAAGTGCATCGTCGTTTGTTTTTCCTAGACCGTCGTTGGACGTTTCTTTATCACACATATACGTAGACAAGAGACGAAATCAAACACCGCCGTGTAAGGCGTTTTTGCCTCTGCGCCTATTTGTCAACCGCTTCTACAATATTTCATATCCCATCCCTTCTAACCGCATGTATCGACTTTGTGGGAACAAATTTTGGTGCTGGCGGTGTTCGTGCCCTTCTTCACCTCCTGATGGGCACCTTGTAGATACCATGGTCATACCTGGCAATGATATCGGGATGTGTACCACCTGTCTGACCAAGTCATGATCGTTTCGTTGACCTCCCGGATATATGCATAACGTTCGTTTCCCTCGCCCCGTTCGCCCGAAAAACCGCCTCCCCCCCCCTCCTTTCCCTCCCTGTCCATGCAACAATGCGTGTGCTCCACCCCTTGGCAGGTATATCAACCGGCTTAGCGACCTCCTCTTCGCTGCCGCGAGATATGCCTCAGTGGTCGATGGAAAACCTGAGCGGCCGTGGAAAAAGCTTCCCGTGCTCAAGGTAAAGGACGACGAGGACGAGGGGGCGCCGCAGAATCTACCCGAAAAAGGACCCTAGTCTCTTATGTTTTTGCCTACAAGTATTTTAAGTTTCAGGGGGCGCAGGGGGGGGGGATCGAAGCTGTTTCTTCCCGTCCAACGCCAACAGTTCGTGTGTTGCCCAGTTGCTTGTGTTTAGCCTAGGGTATGATGCGTGCAAGTTTGCTCATGTGGTGTGTCTGGTCGGTTGAACGGCAATTCAGTGCTGCTGTCGTAGCCGAGGAGGTGATGCGTGGAGAGGGCAGACAGCGGGCGGCGAGTGGGTTGTCGGTTTCTTCTTGCTTTGGCATGTGACGTCTTTGAGAGCGTTGGCCGCTCATCTACTCCTAACGTCGTGTCTGCTTGATGAAAATTTATTTACAAGCGCTCATCGCTCGTCGGTGAAACCGCTAGGGGAGGGGAAGGGAAGGGAAGGGAAGGGAAGGGAAGGGGAGGGGGCTGCGTTGACTCAAAGATTTGGAGAGGTTTTTAGGTTTTGAACGAGGGTTCGCCTGAATGTGAGTGCTGTGCAGATATTGTTCGTGGAGGGGGAATGGTTGTCGTGTTGAGGGGGGGGGGGAGGGAGTTTTCATCCCCGACCTGTGCCCGTCCGTGGTGCAGAAGAGGGAAGGAAATAAGCGAGGGAATAAATGGGTGTGGTGTTTTCCGTCTGTTTTCTGAACCTCAACGTCTACAAGCTTTCGGCTGGCTTCCATCACATGGCGCCTTTGCAAGTTGCCGATTGCCTCAGGTCTTGGCAAAAATGACTTTGGCCGTACTTCGTTCTATCGCTCATTCGTGGGTAGAGCATCGTTTAATGGTGGTTGGAGAACAACAGGCGTACAGAATGCATACATCGTCCGCAACAACGCCGCTGCAAACGAGACATGCATGCATACGTTTTGGGGTTACCTGCGGTGCCAGAGCCAGCAATGAACGTTACTTGCTGTAGTTCGCTTCACACTTCATGCCTCAAGAATGAAACATGCTTGTAAAGTTGTCTTGGCGATCTCTTGGCGTCGCCGAAACCATCCATCCGCACGACAGCATCGCTGCACCAAAACCCCCGCAATCCACTTGCATCTTTTTCCACACGCCAAAGGTTATTGCCCATTAACTCACGCTCCTTCACACCAAACATGTGACGCGGTACGTGTTGTACCTTGAATCCTCGTTTCCGATTGGACCAGCGCCGAAACACAGCAGCCCCCTCTTCTAAAAAACCAACGAATCCCTCCGACACGGCGCTTCTGCACCGCTACCGCCGCCAAACACACACAAAAATTCGTTTCAGAACACACAGCAAAGACACGCACAAACTCCCAGGGTAAACGCCCACCAAATCTCTCTCCATGCTCCCAGTCCCCGGGGAAAGAAGCTCGTTGCGAAACGGTCGACGACCTCGGTTGAGAACGCCTGCCGCTGCGTGTGCAACTCCCAAACGGTCTTACTGGGGTACGCGGACAGTCCTTCACCACGTACACTCTAAACTCTCCCTCAAACCTCATCCAAATGTCAAGCTTGATACCTGGAAATCTTTCCCGACCAACGACCAACTAAAAACCTAGTGCACTAAAACTTTTGCTGTTCATTCGCGAACACCGAGAATCCGTTCACTGGTCAAGTCAATTTTCTTCCTCTACATTACGCTGCATTTGGCTACTCCTGCGCAAAGGGGTCGATGACCTCGATCTTGCCGTCGTCGCTTGCTGCCTCGTTGAACGTCTCGAAGGCCGCCTTCGACCCAACCACTGCAATGCTTGCCGTGGACTTTAGCTGTTGATAATAAGGTGTTGACGTCACAAAATCACAGCGTGGGTCAACAACAACAGGATGCGGGGTTGGGCGGGGGGGGCATTAGAAAAGCGGCCAAGCTGGGGAGAGAAACATGCGGCCGGGGAACGGGCGTGTGGTTGCCCTGCGCAAAGATCAGGACGACTTCCAGCCCGGACTTGACAATCAGAACAGCAGCAGCAGCAGCAGCAGCAGCAGCAGCAACAACAACAATAACAACTTTTCGCCCTGTTATACCACCTGTGCGGCGGCGTTCCCCGGCAACGATTGGCGTTTAAGGAGACAGCGCGCATCCTATCCTCTAAGGTGTTGGTACACTCACCCCCTCAAGCCTCTTGCCGAACTCGACGAAGTCGTCCAGCTTCGTGTCCAGCACCTGACCCGGGGTTCAGGCAAGATGGCGGCGGAACAGCGGTGCGGAATATGGAAAGATACATCAGGGCAGTGCCAAAACCGGAATGTACACCGGAAAAATGTTGTCCCGGGGGATCGTGCGCGTTCTATATACTGTACCGACAACGGAACGTCCCATGCTACGTGTACCAAGTTCAGAGTTACGGAACCGGATTCGAGTAAATGACCAGGATGACATCAGAAAGACAGATACGAGACCCCCCCGTCCTCTCTTTCTCTCTTGTGTCACCTCGTTACGGAAGCGCTGCCTCGCTTCGTCGGTGTGCCCCATGAGGTGCCTTCTAAGGCTAGTCCACCCCTTGGAGTCCGCAGGCATGGGCCCGTCCATGTCTCCGATGGCCCCAATGATGCTCGAGTCAATCTCCTCCTGGGGTAGGTCCAAGCCCGTCAGGTAGGCTAGGTCGGGCGGGGGGGGGGGGGGGG